GAGCAGCTTCTGGTTGTAAAAGTTTAAAAAGGCTTTATTTTCATTTGTACTTTATCAAATTTATTTTTGTATTTGTTCAAATAATAGTTATGGGCAGGTTACAATATAAAAATGTTTGTTATAATCATGTCTTGTGATTATTTGACAGGAGTTTTACTTTGCAACTGTAAGTGTATTTAATTTAGTTATAATGTAAATAAAATAAAAATTAAACCAAGATTTATAATAATTATCATTTTGATCTGTATGGTAATGTCTAACTGGTCCTCGTGTCTCTATGTGGAACAAACTGGGCCCTGACTGGTGTAAACTGACTGAGGACTCTGTGCAGTCATTGAACTGGATTATTTTATTTTATTTGTATGTGTGTTTAGTTTAAGCCATGACTTGTTRGAGAAGTTAAAAGATGAAGTAATTATTGTGTAATAATTGTGAACATGTAAATATAATTAGTCTGTTTGTAGTTGTGGGGACAGAGTTCAGTTCCACACCACAGTCAGTTACCTGTTCCCTCCAGTTGTTTAGAAGAAATAAATATATTTGACTTCACCTGGTAGCCTGTCAGCTTCTAACCTGAGCAACGTTAGGCCTTCAGAGCTGCTAACACCAGCTGCTGCAGAATGAGCAGTGGGCTGTAAGGTCCATGGAGCATCTCCACACATTTACCAACATCATCCCAACACAAACATGSTGGAAGTGTCTGTGAACCAGCTGTCAGTCCAACCAATCAGAGCCAGGARGCTCCTCCCACTCAGTGACTGCAGACCCTGACCCTACCTGCTGAGCTGTGTGTGACACTGACTGATGTGTGTTTCAGAGTGTGATGAGCAGCTGTGAGGCCGTGTCTCCTCCTCCTCTGTCCTCCTCCTCTGTCCTCCCCTCTCCTTGCTCTGCCATCAGGCCGCTCAGCACCTCCACCTACAGGAGCTCCAGCAGTGAATATGAGGTGACCTCATTGTTGTGTGTCGCTTCAGATGAAGCCTGCAAACAGCTGACTGAACGTGTGTGTCCTCAGGTGGTGGCAGACACACACACGCCCAGGAAGGACAACAGCTTGGTGTCTAAAGCCATGGAGTACATGTTTGGTTGGTGAGCCCACAGCTGAACCCTGCAGTGTCTGAGAACAGAGGACCTGCTGTCTGCTTTTACAACCAGTGTTTTTATTCTTTGTCTCTGAATAAAGTTGGTCTTTTCTTTAATTACCTGTTCCATGTTGTTTCCTCAGCAGCACACAGTGTTTCTGTTCTCACATGCARTAATGTAATACTGACATACTGTATTTTCACTTCCTCCCATTTCAACACAAACTCTTTAATCTGACAGATTTTTAACCTGAAAACCATGTTTGTTTTTATCACAGTTTAGATATTTAATGAGCTGCTGACTGATATGAAGTTAGTTTGTTTCTGGTTTCTGATGAACAGCCCTGACCTGCTGGACTGCTCCAGGCTGCTGAGCTCTGCTCCTTTGTCTTCTGGAAGCTGAGTTCAGTTTGAACTGGTTTTTAAGACCAGAACCACCAACCATCTGGTTCCATGAGGAGGTGACCTTTCAGCACATTACTCATGGAGGTCGGTGTTTTCACAACAAAAACAACAGAACTTGGTCCAAATCAAAACTACCCCAGGAAAACTGTTTTCTGTTTAAACCAGTAAATACATTATTTTATACAGGAAATATTTTTGTGTCTTTATAAAACAACCAAACCTAACTTTTTTCAAATTTAATCCAAAGATTTTAATGTTCTAAGATTTTAATCTTGTAAATGACTTTTTTTTCTTTTTCATTTTTGTAACGGTCAATAAAGATTATAATTGTATATTGGTTTGTTTTTCAACTC